AGGAAGACTTATAGGAACGCACCTTGTCCTGAGTCCATTGTATGCATAATTATTTCCAAAGTCGGATCGTAGACGCTGTACATTCCCAATTTTAATGTTTAGTAACGGCCAATTAACAAGTGGGTAAGAAACAACGGGCGGCAGAATATAGGTCAGGAGCCCTGCAAACGTCACCTGGTACCGGTGGTAGAGATTCTTACGCTTCACTAAACCCACTTGTAGCGACCTAGTCTTATGCTACTTTTCGAGGAATTGAGAGCACAGAATTGTGTACATAAGTGGTTAGGCCATATGGAGTTAGGTTGAGAGAAAAAGAGGCGGCACCATAAGGTAGAACAAAAATAGGGGCGAGGAGTGATACCTAATCGGTGGAAAAGAAAATGTATCAAGGGGATTGCCCTCACTTATCACTTTGATAAGTTGTAATTCTGTGTTTACGATGGCGCCTCCCACTGACGATGCCGGCGAAACGTTTGGGAATGTACTCAGCCAATGGTCCATTGCTGGAAATCACGAATACTGTGGCGGATAACATGGGACTATGTATCTTCTACAACATCTCTCTGACGCTTCGACCAAGTTGCATAAACAAGGTCGAACCAACATTATAAAGCTAAACGAGACTGTGACTAAACAGAATGATACACCATCATAGTCTTCATATCTACAATATAATTACAGTTGACTTTTTAATTGCTTATAAAGAGAGTAGACTAAGCTTTATGCTCTGACAATTGTCAAACCCAATACTTCTGATATTTCATCAAGGAGGCATCCTCTCTGAAACCAAACTCTCACTGGTGAATTTTTACCTTAATGAAAAGTTTTTAATAGCCCCGAATTAGTCCAATATTATTAAAGCCTGCTAAGCTTTTGGTCGAGGTATTTATTTTAAATTAATTTTTAAAAATTTCGTTTGCATAATATATGATTTGAATGCAGGACTCTGCCTAACAGATTGGGATTTGTGCCCTATAATTATCATACAGCATTACTCAAAAATCCCTACATTAACTTCATTCAATTTTCATTTATCTAGCTGTTCTATCCAATGTAGACCTCTTTCCACTTGAAGAGGAGGAAGACGAAGCCGCTCTGTATTCGCGTCTATCGGCAGCTCGAGCTACTGCTCTTCCCATAGTACGTGATGCAATTAAAGCAAGCCGTGCATGTGTTCTCTTGCTCACCGTGAAACAGTATCTTAAGGATGTTTACGGCATCACCGATGCGTAAGACTAAATTTTTATTTTATTAGTTTATAATTTATACTTTATTGATCACTTGATCCATTATTAAATTATTTGGGCTATCGTTAGTGAATATTTCCTTAAAATTTGGCTCTAATTTATATCGTTAGTTTTTAAGACTCATAAGTTATTTCTACATTAGTTCTCTTCTAATCTATTTTCTCTAGACTTAATTCATACATTCTGATTATTTATGTGTTAAATAATCTGTGTACAAAAAGTATTATATACTACGGAATTGACATATTTTTTCTATGTTTTTGTGGCACGCATGTTTTAGTTTCAATTTACTTCGCCTTATTTTTGTAATGTTCCTAGAAAACTTTTCACCAACTTGTTTAAATATTTTAAAAAATTCAAATGAATTTACCTTTCCTTGCCGCATTAAAACGAATTAGCACATATGTTTTATTTAAATGCAATTGTTTATACATTTGCTTGTAAACGAATACCTAATCTTTCAGTTTTTTTACTAAACTTACAGTGGCTTCTGGATATCCACTATTTTATGGTATATTTTGGAGCTTATTTTTTAATTTTAATAACATGATTCTTTTTTGTTTGTTTATTTGCTATTTACACTCGTTATGTTTTGACGGCTTTTAGATCTTGGTATTTAAATCTTGACTGATCAAGTAATCTTTATCAGTTAGGGCGTTTGTTTTCATTTTTTACAAAGCTTGCATTTTTAATTTAGAATTTCCTAGACCATTAAGGAAAGCCAATCTTGTCATGAGCATGCAGAGTTTTCTAAGAAATTAGGCAGTGAAATTTAAAATATGGACGAGAAACTGCGACTAATCGTGGATTGAAGTGGTTAAATT